GTTATACCTCTATCTACACCTCCCTCCTCACCAAATTTCAGCGCACACACCTTTCCCATTACCCACTTGATTGGTGTTTGTTTGGGCATAGAACTTTGGGCTAGCCGCCAACTTTTTTTTTTAATATTAATCCCCCTGGGATGTAGATTGGCAAAGACCTTGCCCCGAAGGGCGATTATCTACACTTGGGTAAGCTGGCAGTATGCAGTCAGTGGAGGAACAGCTGAATTGGTCATCATTTGCTTAGTTTCAGAAGACGGCGGATGGGGAGCAGCTTTTAACAGGATCTAGTGTGACGTAGAATTCGTTTAACTGACGTTCACGCGTACGTATCAGGTCAAGCTTGATCAGGTTTTACTTCATGTGTGGAGTGTCAAATTTAGTCTGGAGAAGGAAATTTTCCTTGTGGATTCGTACTTGTTTGGAGGAGTGTTTCAGAGTTGGAGAAAGGAAAAAGGTGGGCTAGGCTGGTACACTTACAAGTGTGGACAACTGCTGTGCCGGGTACTGGTGCACATTTTGACAAACATGTATGCACTGTGATTGGCATATTGTGTTAGTGTTCAGTGCATCGAGTTCCACTGGGTGGGAGTGATTGCCCAAACGAAGACAAAACCCTTCACTTTCCAGCAACGTCTGCATTCTTGAGCTAAGTTGGTCACCAACATGGAGGAGCCAGCTTATGCTACCACTTTCCTCTTCCCCGACAAACTTCAACTGAAGTTGAAGGAGATGCCCAAGCCAAGGTACGTTAAGGTGGAGCACCAGTGGACTACCAGGAAAGATGTAGTTTTGAAAGCTTAATCCCAAATGATTTATTGCTTTTTGATCTCTTTTTTTTCTTTTAGGGGTTTTGTTTGTGGGTTTTTTCAGAGAGACAGAGGACAGATTTTTTTTTCAATGTAAAGGAGGTGTTATTGGCACATTTCAGTTTTCATGTAGACTGCATACACTACATAATGTACATGTACCTGTATACCAGTTTGTTGTATGGGATCTGTTTTCTGAAGAACTCTGAATACACATGTACATTATGTAGACCATGCCACCTGTTGGTTCATATTGTGCATTTGTTATAGACAAGCAGAACTTCCAAATGTGCAAAGTTGTTTTTCTTGAATACTTAGAGGTCGTTTCAAGAAGATGATGTTATGATGCACGAGTTTGTTTCTCTGAGAAGGTCTGCATCACAATCATAAATTGGAATTTGGTAAAGCAGTTGAACACGCCTCAGATGTACCGGTATGATCCTGTGGGAACTAATGTAACCTCCTTCTAAATCTACTTAAACTTGCATACATATGGTACTGCTTTGTACGTGTACACTGCGTATATTTATATGGCTGTAAAGCATTTGGTCGATACTTTCAGTGCTGGTGATATCGGTTCATTTGTGTGCTTTCGGTCACTCTCTGTACTCCATAGGAATGTACGGCGTCTTCGTGAGTCTTTATTTGCTTCTTAACATCACTACAATGCGCTACAATTCTGACTGCCGCTGGGCAGCACTCGTTTGATGCTGCTGTGTTCTGCTGGAATTGTCCAATTGTGGGTCAGAGCTGGAATTGTCCAATTGTGGGTCAGAGTTCAGTACCCTGCAGCTACATGTGTTTTTGTCCTCATGTGTGAGGATGTGGTTTCAAGACATTTCTAGGAATGATGGTTTACATGTAAGTGCACATGCTTGTACACAAGTTTTGTCTGTGTGTACACAGTGGTACTGGTAGGGGTGTTTTCATTTACACCTCGAGGTTTATTTTGGTGTAAAACTACAATGTGTCGAAGATCTTTTGCACATGGAAGATTTACATGTACACAAATATATCCTCCCCGTTAAATTACTGATATGTACGTGTAAGAGAAATCCCCTGAGAGATCACTGTGATATCCCATACCAGTTCCCTTCTACAGGTACTCAGTAGCTTGTGTCATTCACCAGAATAGCAAAAAACAAAAACAGGAGTGACTCTATGTGAAAACTTCCATTGCCCTGTATTATTGGCCCGGTAACGACCCCAGCCGTACCACTTGGCATTCATTGTACAATACGGGCGATTCACAAAGGTGCGCCACCAAGAGTTTGCAACGCGTTGGCCAATCACAATGCGCGAAATCTGTCGACCCAATGCGCGCTCGGAAAGGGTCGACAAATTTTGCGCGTTGTGATTGGCCAAGGCGTGGCAGACTCTTGGGGGCTCACTATTGTGAATCACCTGTGATTGTGAATGACATTTTACAGGGACATCGACATGTATGATCATTCTTGTTCTTCACCAGCTGATATGTAGATATATCACATATGTACCGGTAGCCTTTGGGGCATAATAGTCACCCATATTTTGTGTCCGCAGTTCGAGCAGATTTGGATTCTCCTCTGTGCCTTATTAGTTTGAAAGGACTTCGTACATGTATGTTATCTGTTCCCTGTAAATACTGTACATACATGTGCACACATTGTGGAACTGCTGGTAGGAACCTAAACTCCTTGGGTTCTACTTAGTTTAAATCTGGATCCGTCCGCATCTTTTGAGGTGTGCAGATCAAAAGCTCACTGAAAATGACACAAGTCACTTATGGAGATTGTGACAGTCAGGGTGGTTACCGGGATGGCAGCATTATTGGCAAAGGGGCAAAATCTTGGAAACACAGCCAGCTTCGGGGAATTAGTCTATATGTGTTTAGCACGAGGGCGGTGTTTCCTCGTCTTCCCCGAAATTTCCAGAAATTTAGGGTGTTGTTCAGCAACTTTTCGGGAAAGAGTAATTTGAGAAAGTTCAGGAATTGAAGAAATTGTTTTAAATTCACGTCAGACCGACTGACTGACCCATATAGCCTAGCCACATCCTTACATAAGTACACATGGTATGCATGCATTCGTATACTGTACATGTACGTACCAGTACTGATGCATGTTGTAAGGTGGGTCCCTGTTTTTATCCATCGTTTTATAATAGCAAATAGGGAAAATAGTATGCAGGAAGCATTCTTGAAAATTTTGGGAAATATCCATCAAATTTCAGGAAATGGTGTGTAGGCGTGTGGACCTCTGCACAAAAGAAGTCCACCTAATGTACAGTGCGATGGCGTAGTGTGGACTCGCACACGTCCACACAATGTTTTACCCTCTCTGAAAAACAGTTTCAGAGGCATTTGGGGTCAAGGTTATCAGTGGCAAAATGAAGAGGAACAGTCCAGGAAATCATCATCAAAAATCCATCTGGAAACACTGCAAGAGGGACTGTTAATAAGGAAATCATACATATGAGCTGATTTTCTCTCCTGAAAAAAAAAACACTTTGATGTGCTGGCAATAGATGAAGTGCAATGTCCCACAGAGGTGGAGTGATTGAGATCACCCACCTTCTACGCTTTGATTTGTTTAAAGAGGATTTGCCACTGACAATGTGAAAAAAACGAACGCAGACCAATAGACATGACCAGCACTTTACTGTTTCCTCCGAGGCAGGCCATTTCTGGGTTCTGATATGGTGAATAAATCCGGTTTGAAAATGACTGTGCAAAACAGCAGCACGGTGCACATACTTAGTTTGGTGCCAACACCACATCCTGGATCACGGGATATTAAAAAACATTGTTTGTAGTGACTAGCTGAAAATAAACAGGAAAATGTCTGCACCGCTCATGGAGGGCGTATACATGTACATATACACGCGTTTGCAATGCACAAGGCATTTTAACAATGCTAAACCTGAACATTTGTTTATGTGTGGTATAGACATCATGCCCTCTTGTGGTTTCACCTTTTTAGTCCTTTAATGTCACTTTTCCTTTATTCTTTCACATGCCATCCCAGCTCATTTTTTTCCCTCTATATCAAATTAAAGGAAATGAAACTTAAAGCACTCGTGTGTGTAAGTAACTTACATATGTACACGTATTTACGTAAACTGCTTCTTGTACTGTCAAGAAAATGGATGATCTACTGTTGAAAGCGAAAGGAAGAGAACGATACGCATTTGCATTTCGCGTTTCCCAGAATGCACTTTCCAACACACGTTTTCAAAAGTCAGATACTGAGGAGTTCAACACAAATGGTGAATAAATCGCGTATGAATGTTGCACTTAATTCGCAAATTTAAAGCTTTGCCTATACCAGGCAAAAACCGTCAGTTTCGTGGATGTTTCATTGAATAAAAATAACCACTGAAATTGGGGAAGCGGCACTCACTTGTTATTAATAAAATGCTTCGCCAGCAACGTCTTACAATATCAGGAAATTGACAATCTGGCACCTTAATTAATTCTAATGATGCCAATCACAAAGGGGGCAAATACATGTAAGTTGGCTTACCCGCATATGAATAAACTATTAAAGGAAATGTAAAGGAAAAGTAGTTTGTCAGAAACCAAGACAGTGTAAAGGAAATGCACATAATGTCTGGAATATAAAATCGAGTTTTAAGCTGTGTATGTGCCGGTACTTGCAGGACAAGTGGAATGGACCACTGTTAGGAGTGGATTCCTCAAAAGAGTCTATATTCCGATTTGATTCCGTATTACTTTAGTGTGGAGAAGTTCCATTCTGCCTTCATGTACATGAATATACGTACACCGTATGAGGACACTTGTATTTAACCTGCAGTCCGACAAAGTCCAAGGAATGGGACTGATTCTATTGATTAGATTAAACATTTGCCAAATATTCACGGTACATGCGTATACACTTACATACATGTACATATTCCTTTGTACTTTGAATCACTTTTCATGAATAGCCAATTGAAAATTGCTGGTACTGGTGCTTGGTCAGTAGAGATGCATGTGCAAGTGTTCATGTACATGTACCTTGAACATGTATACGTACCTTGAAAGCCGCACCCCCTAAATTCATGTCATGCAGAAGAGAAATGTGACTTGGTTAAGGGGCCCCACTTACCCATTAAAAACCCCTTTGTCTGTTAATAACTCATGTGCATGTAGTTTTTGCCTATCCTTTTAATCACTCTGTCAAGTTTTTGGTGTCCTCCTCCCCTCTACAGGAAGAAAGTCAACCCCATCTACGACCGCTACGAGGGCCCCACAGAGAAGGTCACCACCAGCAGGGATGGCTACCCGAAGAGCAGCAGCAGGCCCCCCTCCAAGGGCCCTTGCCTGGGCCGCTGCCTGCGCCATCCCTTGACCATCGTCGTCATCTTTGTGTTGGTTGCTGTCGTCATCGTTGCTCTCGTCTTGCTCATGCTGGGCAAAATAGAGACACCAGGTATTGTAACGTAGCATACGTACGTTTCTTTTTCATTTGTTTTTTGTTTTTTTTAAGAGAGAATGACATTTTGTGATCCAGTGAAAGCTTTGACTCTGAGTTTGCAGGTGTAGTCTTAGTGTAGAGATCTGTTCTGCACATTCTTCTGGACAAACATTGATTGCTTTTTTCCAGCAGAAAATAGTAACAAAAAAACCAAACAAATATTCAGGGAGGGGCATAGTCCCTCTTTAAAGAGAGAGTCGTTTTGTCTTGTTTATTCTGAGGTATTTATTTTCTTCAAGTCAATTTTTGGTGACCTACTAACCTTAAATACCTTGATGCCTGATGCCAACCAAACATGGTAGGGTTAGAGAGTACTGTCTATTTTCATTTGTTAGGTGTTTTCACTGTGTGGGAAGCTGGTACCTGCTGGTAGTTGCAATAAAATCCTGTATATTTACATTTCTTACTTAATAAGTAAGCCTCCCAAATTTGACCTGAAGTATATTAACCCTAACTCCCAAGGGGTATTTGCCAAGGACCCTGCTAAATGCACCGGAATGCACCAAACCCCAAATGGGTACCCTGCTAAATGCACCAGTATGCGCTGGTGCATATTGGTGCATTGTGTAGTGAACTAATTTATGTCACTCTCGGAACCTCTATCTACCCTGCTGAATGCACCGGATTGCACCAGTGCATTCTGGTGCACTAGTTGCTAGGGCGTAAACACCAAGCCTGCTAAATGCACCAGAATGCACACCACCAGAAGACTTGCGTTGCCCGCTAAATGTACCAACTTGCAACAACTTTTTACCTCTGGTGCATCAGCAGGGTTAGGGTTAATGGATCCAATTCCGGCACAGCTTTGACAACCAGTTTCGTTTGGTTTGATATCCAATACTTGTATAAAGACTTTGTCAGATTTAGATTTGGGAGATGCTGGGGATTTGAAGAGGGACAAAATTCCCCGAGAGTTAAGGGCAAGTGCTACAAGTTTCTGAATCTTTATTCCATGTTCGAAAATGTCAGCATCCTCCGGCTCATCAGACAAGCAAATCCTGCCGACTGTCAAAGTCACCGATCCTCCAGTTACAACTCCTAGCTCTTTCACTGGCGGCTCCGTCAATGACGAGCTACTGAAAATAGTACGGGACCAACAGCTGATAATTCAGGACTTACAGCGGAGGGTAAGACCTGCTAAGGCTGTCGTCAGTTTGACAAACTCCCCTAGAGCATGCCTGTGTACCTATCTGATGCAAATCAGATGTAGACGCATCGTTGTGCTCGTTGACCACCTCCCATAAATGTGACCGGCTCTAGGAAAATGAGTAATAAGTCACCGGATTCAGGTTATGCATTTTTGATGTAGCTGGATTGTGCACATCAAAAGCTACAATTTGATATATGAATGACCCCTGTAGTGCGCTGCGTTCCAGAGATATATAGACATTTGTGTACCCACATTTTTGGATTCAATAAAAGTATTATTCAAGGTAAAAGCTCATAAAGTTCATAAAGTGTAGCGCTTGGAAACACAATGCTATGTAGCATTTCCTACTGAATGATCAACTTTTATCTTTATTCATCAGTATGCATGTTTGTAGTCACAAATTCTCTGAAAACAGAAATATTATAGAAGCTATTTCAGGAAAAAACCACATGATCACGTTTTTAAGAAATTTTGCCCTCTCCAAATAGAGCAGGCCATTACTTGATTTGCACTGCACGACTTATTACCCTTTTATGCAGAGCGGGTCACAAACGGGATTTCAACTTCCAATGAAGAGAGCAAGAGAAAAGATGCTCAGTACTGGTAACAGTTGATTGCATGGTTCCCCTGCTTAGGTTGTTCAATAGGGAGGTGGCCCACCTCCTGAATTTTGGTCACCAGCTTAACCATTTGGGCTGATATTGCTGCCTCACATTAAAAAATAAGAACACGGGGGAGAGAAAACATACATTATAAAAATGGGAACAATTTTTGAACACTTGACCTTGCTCTGACCATCAAATGTGCCCCACTCTGCGAAAATGAGTCTTAAGTTGCCAAAGCCACTTTGTGAGTTTTCGTTTGAATTGGAAAGAGCAAATTGAGTTTTTTGTTGTGATGTAACACTCAGTTTGTCATCCTGATGGAAGTGGATACTCCATGGTGAGAAGTGCCGTGGCTTCCTATTGATTTACACTGCAAAATTATTCTAAAGGACTTTTTACTCCAAAGAGGCTCTGGCGACTTAAGACTCATTTTCACAGGGTGGGTCACAAATGTTCTTTTTTGTCACCTCATCCTCACCAGCACTTCGGGGGGATCCTGGTTGATGAGTCCTTGAAACCTCTCAGAAATTTGTCAGTCTCTAAGAGTTACAAGTAGAAAAAGTGAAGCCAGTAATAACTACTACCTGTACATTGGGCCATGATGGCTCCCGTTACAGGATCCAATGTACATTACCCAAGTGTTTTAGTTAACTGAGATACATATAGGACCTGTGTGATCAAAAAGAGCGTGGAGTCATGTATCTGCTGCATTTTGATGCATGTAAGCCTTTTTAATATTAAATTCACGGTCCTAGGATCGCAGAGGCTGGCATATGACTCATTTATAAACAGTTTTAGTCATTTACCAGAGCTGCTAGTGCCAATTTGGGCAGACATAACGTTGAACCATTTCCTTTGTGGAGCCATACATGCATATACATCCATGTTCACTGAATTCTTGGCTGAATTTAGGAGGGATGCAAGAGCAAGGTCTAATATCAAGATTTTCTGAAACATCTGAATTATGCCCTGCTTTTAAGTTTGCCATTGATTCTCAGGTGTTAAGGGTTTTGAATTTGGTAATTTGAACCAGCCACACTGAGTGCGTGGTGCCTACTGAGTGGACTGTGTTGCATTTCTCGGCATGTTCCCCCCCCCCAATATTTCATGTGAGGTTCTGTACCTTGAACTCTTCTATTAACTTGCAGTCTCAACGCATCAAGGCTTCAGTCCTGATCTTTTCACTCTGACAACCTAAATCTCTTTTGTTGAACAGATTGGCTCGTTAGAGAGCATGCTTGGTGGGGGAGGTGAAGTCAACGCCTCACTGAGCACCAAAGTGGCCATGAACACGATCAAGGTGAGTTTGAAGCTGAGGACCTCCTTGTTCGGTGTGTGGGCACGGAACCCGTTCCACGGGCTCACCACGGCATTCAAATGTGGTTATGCAGGATGCCATAGCAGGTTAATGTAGCTTGTGGATGGCGCACCTGGATGGATGCTGAGAATATTTCAACCTCTTCTCTGCACTTTCCAGACGTTCCCCGTGAGTCCCCATCAGTGTCTTCCATTCCGTTCTGTGTACCAGTGCGTGACATGAGTTTTTTAATCCTCAGGCAAACTTGAATTCTTAATTCTGATAGGTCGATCCATGCCAGCAAACAGTGTGACATATAACTGTGTTGCACGGCCCATGTCAAACCCTGCGTAATGTGCTGTTTACATTTACATTACATTAAAAGCAAAACTCCTGACTGCAAAATTTACTGTAAATTGAAATGTGGCACGTTTGCACTCATAGGCCTTGCTTGAAGAAAAATTTGTTGTCACACTTGTGGAACACACAACAACATAGTGCGTCTGTGCACCACTCGGCCTTTGGCCTGGTGGTATCCAGAACACAGATGCACAACCTGATTCTGTATTCCACTCGCGCTGGTGTGATAACCAACACTTTTATCATACTGACCTCTCATGCTGTCAAGATTTAATATAACTTCACTGTGATCACATGTCCCCCATGAATGGAGCCATCTTGAAATGCAGCTGTGCCAGAAAGTTTGGTCACGTGCTGGTGAGTGAATGGGGGAATGGAAGAGCTGTTCGCACATGGCAAGATCATTGGCCATTCTACTTGTATATTCTAGCCTGTGGTTGGTCAAATAGTGTGATGGATTATCACAGTGCAGTGCATTGTAACAAAAGACGCCTCCCTGTCTAATGCTTGTATTGTGTTTTTATTGTCACCAGATTGAGAATATACAAGACAGGATCACCCCCCTGGAGGACTCAGTAACTGAGTTGCAGGCTTCCCTGACTAATTCACTGAGCAGTTTGGAAGCCACCAAGTCGAGGGTAAGTATAGGTGCCTTCCCTCTGGTACGACGATTTTTGTCATTATTCCCAACCTTCCTAGGTGCTTCAGAGTCCACCAGGATGTTGCAGAGGATTGGGGGGGGGGTTGAGGAAGGTAGAGCCCAAGCCACCTTGAGTTTAGTTTTGTCTTGATGTCCCTTCCAGGTTTTCTGCCTGTGGGGGGGGGGATTTTGTAGGATTCAGGAAATGCTATTGTGCTGGTATGAGGTGTTCTGATGGTGTAGACAGCTGTGCACATCACATGGCTTGTTTTTTTGCTGTACACTGTTTTGACTGTAAGCCTCCGTTGGAGGCTTATCTGTGACAGGGAAACAACACCTGATGAATAATGGGCATGCCAAATCCTGTCTGGATACCTTTTGACGTTCTTATCAAAGACGGCAGCATTGTTACTAATCTTAGTTTCAAGATCCCCAAGTGGTTGCGTCGTGACTTTTTACATTCTGTTTTCCCAACCTCTTTTGCTCATGTACACAGACGGCAGCATTGGAAAACTCAACTCACTCGCTGCAAACACAGGTGAGTTCTGGAATAAGGCCAAACATTTTTCCTTCTTCATGCCAGCAAACGTAATGCAAGCGGAAAATACTGCGGCTTCCAAACATCACTGCACAGGGTCCTTCGCCCCCTACAAGTGGTGGCCCTTTCAGCCTGTAACAGTACTGCTTGCTTGCGCTCGTAGGGCAGAGAATACTCAAAGAGCGATTTTCATAGAAGAACATGGAAGTGCATGAGGGCACTGGAGGAATGGCTCAGCATATTCCATTGTCCCAGAGAGGGGCTTGTACCCACTAAGTAAAGCGAGACCTGATACCAGGCGGAACTATTCCACCCAACCCTGTTATCCAACACCATGCCCCCGCCCTACAATTTCCCGGCATATCATCTCGGGACCTTATTGTTGTGCATTCATGACTGGTTTTTGCTGCAGGTGGCGTCCCTGGGAGCCTTGGTTGTAACGCAAGGCCAGCGCATTAACGAAAATGGGGATAAGAACACAGCTCAAGACGCAGATGTAAGTACCATTTGAGTAAACCTCTCGCCTACCGGTAGGCGTACATGTTAACAGTGGTTCAGGTAGAAGTCACACAGAGCCAGAAGCAGCAGTAAAACGAGCGGAAATAATGAACATCCTTGCCGGCAAATGCAAGCTGTTGGCATAGAGGTGAAACGATGGTATACGATGAGCAAGCGATGTGATTCGTTAAGTTCAGTGCCTGTGCCGATCATGAGACCTATGTTGGTGGTTTTGTACATTTTGACCCACTCTGCAAAGAGGTGTATTATGTCACTTTTTTTGGAATCTGAGTTATATTCATAATCGAGTTACTCACATCCTAAGCTTTCATTTGATATATAATTCATCCTAGTGGCATTTTGCATTTTGGAGTTATTTGCCATTAGCATATTCATATAATTTCATTGCATCTCACATGCTTTTTGAGATAATGCCCTGTAGACATAACAAACAGAAATATTAAACTTAAATTTGACACTCTCTTGGGTTTCCTTAGCAACAGAGGCTTTGTGGTCAAGCAATTGGCCTCAAAATATTTCCCAGTATTTTCACCCTCGGCTCATGGACCACCATTGAACAAAGCGGGTCACATTTGGTCTTTTTGTTGTTTCTCGGCCTCTCTTTTTTTGTCAACTCGTCCACCCAGTCATATCTGTCTGTACGTTCCCTTTGGTCGGTTGTGCGTTTGCCAGATGATGGCGTGGGTTCTTTTTGTGGCCATAAGTGCCTTAAGAAATGCCGTAATTTCATGTGAATACTCGCCAGCATGAAAGATTCTTATTAGCTCAAGCTCTTATTAGCATTAGCTCAAACCACCTAGGGTGTATGTGAAAATCACACTCAAATCGGAGGATTGAGGACTGTGAGGGTTAAAGGGAACTGTACCGTAGCTTGTCAACTGAGCCACTCCAATCTGAAAACAAGGACCTTGACCTGATAGAATTGTTTTTTTCGTATTTGCAGATCAGCAGTGCACAGCAGAGCATCACGATCCTGCAGCAGGAGTTTCAGCACGACCTGTTTGAGGTCAACCGCACCATCTACGGCGAGCTAGACACCATCAGCAAGATGCCCGGCCCGCGGGGCTTCAACGGCAGTGAGGGGCCCCCAGGCCCGGCCGGTCCCCAGGGCCAGCAAGGTGCCGGCGACCTGTCCCAGTGTGACTACCAGAAACTGTCAGACTCATCAGCAGGATCCTCCGTGAGTGTCACTAGAGGCCCGTGGACAAGTCCCACTGCAGTAAGTGATCTCATTGGGCCAGATGGGGTTCCTCCTTACTCCCAACAAAACTTGTCCCATGGAACTGACACACCGGGGGTGCAACTTTCATGTGAATGTGCACAAACATGTCAAGAATCACTTGTAGCAATTGAGCCGCTGGCTAGCTTTCAGGACAGTACTTACAAGCATTCTGATCCAGTTGAATTGCAGCCTAAAATGACGTTAGAATCACCAATAGATGGGGTTTTTTTTGTATGGTGAGAATAAATAGCAGACGCTGCTTCAGCTTTTCAAAACTTTACTCACCTTCTCTCATGACTGACTAACTCTGTCTCCATTCTGTTGTTTATGTCCAGGATAAAATCTTTACTGCTTTCACGTGCTCAACGAAAGGCGGAACATTAGCCAATCTGGAGACAGACACACAGGGCAGGTACCGCTGCGTGTGTACAGGGTGGCATGCACCTTCGGATGGCAGCACGGACAGGAAATGCTACTCGCATTACTGGCGGTGCCCGAAGACAAGCTAGACCTCCAACAAAATATTTGTTTTTAAAAAAATGTTCAGAGAATAAAGTGAAAGAAAAAAGTGTACATATCTGTAAGCAATTTTTGTATGATTTCTTTTTGTAAAAATTATCTTTCTTTAAATGAGATCTAAACTTCAATAACTGTAAGAAATCATTCGATCATAAAAAAATGGGGAAAAAAAAACCAACGTAGAACTTATTTTATGTATATAGCTGTAGCTAGCATTCTAGCATCTACCCTTAAATCACCTTAGACACCGTACCTTGGCACGAAAAGATTGCTGAGAGGGTTCAAAGGCATTCTGTATGGTCACTGCACATTAACAAAAAATACCAAGGGTTCTCTCCGTGCACTATACCCTTGGGGTTTTCCTCTCCTTGGATTTGTTGACATCTTCCGCTACAGACTTCAGTTTCATATATTTATCCCCCCCCGGTCGATACTTATAGTCTCTGTGCAATCTCCCCTTGTCTGTCTAATGCGAGGCTATATCCTTGGGAGGATTGCTGGTTTTATTGTTGATCATTTGGAGGTCTGTTGTTGATGGTTTGCTCTGAACTCTAAACTTGTGAACAGTTCCTCGGAGCAGTACTTTGTACACGGTTTGCTGTCCACTCGCTTCACGATTAACCCACACCCTCAGGGCGCTCGATTATGCCTCCTGCATTGGTATTTTTTGTGCTCACTTGGGCCCGGCCCGAGCAACCAACTCACCGAGTCAGTTACTCAGGCAAGTACCCCACAGTGCAGTGTGAAAACCGTGGCGGTGGTAATTCAGAAAAGTCGTTGCCCGTAGAGGCAAACTGGCTCGAGTCAAGTAAGCCATGTGAAATAGTGGCCTGATACCTATGTGTGGATGTCCCTTGCTTTTGACAGTTCAGATTCACATGTCAAATCTAATTTCTGCATGAACTCTTGACTCATTTGGGGCACCCCAAGCAAACCGAGATTGTTAGTTTATTATCGCATAATTGCGCATGCAGGCCTAAACCCACAACGACGTTGCAGGTAAGCGCAAGGGTAGTAATCGAATGTGCCGCTTGTAGTCAAACCTCACAACCTTGAAGGAGACGCGACTCTCTAACCTCACAGCGGTGTACAGGTATCTCTTTTTATGGCTGCTCTCTTTGTTCATGTCTGTTGACCTTACCTGGCGCACTTTTGTAGAGGTCAGAGGTCGTGCAGCTACAACATGCAACACAGTTACCTTTTGACCACTGACGAGCAGTCTCAAAAGGAAGAATGCCGAACAAGCACGTGCCAGATTTTTTGTCCCAGCATGTTTTTGGCGACGGAGATTCACTCTTTCCAAGTTCATACCTGCTTGAGGTCTCCTCGCAGTACTGTGTCTACACCTTAATGTGTACATAATATTCCATTGTAAATAATTTGAATACAGTGTGACTAGTTACTAGGTACTTATGTATGTGGAGATATTGTTTGAAACCAGAAACCTGTGATTTGCAATGACAGTGCCCGCAGAGCTGTGATATAATGATTTCAGCTGCTCAGAGCTTTTCGTTTTTACTTTGCCTTTGAGTGATTAATTTGATTTAAGCAGATTATTTCTATTGTTTGAAATCACTGCCATACTTAACAATCTCTCTCCCAGACTTGATGATGGGGGCTTGATACTGCTTAAGTTCAGTTTGTTGTGCTTTCAACAATTGTCTTGTAACTTTTTGTCTTGGCAGCAATAATTTCAATCTTGCATTTGTTTTATTTTTAATATTAATGAAATACTCAGATACCAAAAAGTTCCATTTGTTCTCAGTTTTGGGGAAAAAAGTTTAAATCAGATGATTTGTAACATTTTTCTATTATGTTTTTATCAATCATGCAAGAGACAGAGATGTACCCCAAAAAGCAGATTTATTTTCAAATTACCTGCAGGAGTCTTTCAGAGGTCACTAAGCAGGTATCCAGGGTCACCGGGTAAGTGCTGAGGCCCAAACTGAATTAGCACTTACTGAGTGAAAAGTACTGGAGCAGGTTTGCTCCAGAGAGTTTAAAACTGTATCTCTCACTTTTGCAGCTCTCAAGCACTGATCAAGTCTGAAATCATTTGAGCAACAAAAGCAGTGTATAAAAATATCTGGACCATTATGCACAGAGCAGTTACATTTGATTTGAAAAATTTGTACTTTTTTTTTCTTTTTTGGTCTTTTTTTTTAATAAAAAGTCATGAGATCCACATTAGGTGCAAGTCACTGAATGAAGAGATGGAAAGAGCTATACTTTACCTTGCTTGATCACAAATTTATTAAAGTTCCACTTGTACTTTTGTTTCCAATGGTACTTTCTTTTCAAATGGTGCGATCAAACTGTCATTTTGTGCCTTGTACAGTACTGTATCTATACCAATTATGTCAAAACCAAATACAGAGATAACGTGCAGTGGTCACTCCAATTTTGTACAATTCTGTAATTATATATATGCAAAACCGTGCCATCAAATTTTTTGTTTCAAGTGGGTAAAGAAATGATATATTTGTCGTAGACATACTGTACGTACTCAGTTCTGTCAAAGTTTTCATAGCGTTGCGTAATACTTTGGTGGATTGTGAAGTGTAAAACATGCACTCGTACTTGTCTTTCTGGTTCTAAGGTACACTTCAAATATACATATGTACATGTACGCAGATCGAAGACATTCAAGGTTGTAAATGCTGTGGATATTGCATAGGATGTGGGTGGGGTCAAGTGAGGGTGAGGAGGAATGCAAGTCCCAGGCCAAGCTGGCTCACACTGCTATTGTGGCAGTGCACTGCGCAGCAAGATGGCCCTGCGGAATGACCATGGTGTGCTTCCGCGTACGACTGAATGTGAACTCGACAACAGACGTTGCTGCGTCTGTTGCAACAAAACACCTGTGGCTGCACCAAAGCATTTGTGTTGTGAACAATGAGTGAACTTTGAAGCATGCTGGTCCACTCGTTCCTCCCCTTCCGGAAAGCATATATCCACCACATTGCTGTACAGAGGGAAGTACTTATGCTAAGTGAACCGTAATACCAGCACATTATCCTATTGACACTTGAACTTGGGGATTGTCCAGAGTTCTTCCTTTGATCAGCAACAGTGTTGCAGTCGTGTGCATCACAAGTCCAGTAACAAGTCTCTTCAGAAGACCGGTCACGAGTAACGGGCCGAACAGTGACAAAGCAGTGCATCTGTCACAGTTCATTGGAGTGGCTTGCGAGTTGGCTCCAGACGGGATGACTGACGGTGGTCTTGTGATGGACTTGACCACAACATCTGATACACATGTTCTTGACAAATTCACTTGAAGTTTGATATGCCGGGCTGGCCACGAATGAAATGTCACTGAGTTTGACATGAAGGAAGTTGGCTGTGCTTAAATGAAACGTCTTTGCAACTAGAAAAGCCAACCCGTCAAAGGTTATCATGCACAATTATCATGGTTTGGAGTGAGACACTGGCTGGAGCACTGTTCCCAAGATGCTGTTGGCGGATTTGACAACCTCCCGTGGAGGATTCGACAACCTCCCAGGGGAGGTTGCCAAAAAAGCCAACACTGAGGGACAATATTATTCTACCGTCTTTGAATGTGGTTGGAGATTGAACTTAAGTGGAATTTTAAAAAAAATTATTGTGCCCCTTATATGTATCCTATGGATACGTGATTGGTCGATTTGTAAATGCCAATTAACCTTTCCTGACTTGATGCAAAAGTGTCCCCTTAACGTTCACAGCCGTCAAGTGCAGAATAAAACTTGGAAGATCAACTCACTGTTGCAAAATGAACTTCACGCTGAGGAGAATGATGTGTTTGCAGTGTCCAAACCAAAATTGAATCAGTTTTTATGGAGACATGTGCAAACAAGGATTTACTTACATTGGGTTTTTTGTTTTAATTTGAAGTCAAATCTTGAAAACAGTGAATGTAATCATGAATTCCACCCTTGCCAGATTGTTCGTAGTGGTGACTGCTCAAAATGGCTCCAGTCATTTTGTTGCGATTTTTTTTTTCACGAAAGCAGAGCCTACTTTAGGAATATTCAGCCTTACATCCGTCAGTGTCCATCCTAACTGATCACATGCAAACGTCCTGTATAGTACAAGGGTTAAGTTTCATTGGCCACAAGTTGGAAGTACACAATTTTACATGATATTCAGGGATCGTCAGGGATTGGTCGGGTAATCCTTAAAGCTGTACTTATGCAGTGGTTCCTTCGTGACCCTTTTACAAATGTCATTGAAACACGACAGTAACTCGGATAATGTTATAAATTTTTTCTCATGGCATTTTGTATTCATTAAACGATTCTATGTCAAATATATATTTTTACACATTAAAAATATGTTTCTTTTGACATGCTAATGAAATATCTTATGCACTTAAGATTTTTTTAATGGTTGTAATTGTTATATGGGCGGTAGTTCATTTTAGAAGAAAAATAACGTGTCAATAGCTTTATTTTCTTTTTACCAAGTACTTAAACTCACTTAACAAAAGCCATGTACTTTTTATAAGACCTTTTTAAATGAATGCAGTACTTCGAGTAACAAGTGTTAAGATTTATTTGAGATTGATGTACTTTTATCACGGGGGGGGGGAGAAATGTTTCCGTAGGTGCAATTTTGGAATACTTGAAATATGGTCCCATATTTCATTGAAGAAAAAAACTGGGTTACTTAAACCAGTTTGATGTTATTTGTGCCACACAAGAAATGTATATCGTCTTTGTAAAATCCATTTTACTGTGTTTCAACTTGTGGCAAAATGGACTGTGTGAAACAGCACATTACCATTCATATAAAGAGTGAATATGTTTGTGTTGATAGTTAAATAGCTCGAGTAATTCCAGCCCAGTGTTCATGGCTTTTGGCTTATCCGCGACTATCCTGATTAATGCCATGAGCATTAAGGCTGGGGTCACTCAAGCTAATAAGAGTTTAAGCTGCTAATAAGTTTAACAGCACGAGACTGACGTCGCTCGTCAACTTTTTATGCCTCGTATCATATACTACGTTCTAAATGAAATAAAAAAAGAAGAAAGACCTGCAATTTGTGTATTGCATGAAGTACTGGTGTTTTCGTCACTCTTCTTTGCAGGTTAAACAAGGAAAATTCACACCAAAAGAGCGGTCGTGTATTTGTTCGCGTGAAAGAAAGTGGAAAATCAAATGGTGAGACGATGAAAGCGATATAAAGGACTTTATTTGAAAGAGGTGAAAAGGGGTTGGAAAATCGTCAATTTGCTTGAAAATACGTCGGAATTTATCCCTTTCCATCTTTAATTTTTTTTAGTTTACTGTTGATAAGTGCCTTTGTGTCCCCCAGTGGAAAAGTCTGCGACGACCATGTCCATGCCATGTGGAACTGTTGGTCGAGACGAACGTCTGCTACGGCCACATGAAGAGCGCATGGCAATATTGGCGCAGATTGCCAAGCAGAGTATGTGGGCGTGATCACTCATCCAAGTAAGCCAGAACTGCTTCCGACGTACGGCGTATGCAAGGCCACATCCCGGCTTGCATGAGGCAGCAAGACATTTTCATGTGAACTCATCACCGCAAATCACGTGAAAACTTACGTAAATAAAGTGAAATATTTCCAGTTTAACATTTCATTTTGAACCTTTAGCTGAAAGGATAGCCTCACATCTTTATTTGTCCATGTCAAAACCTTAACTTGAAGCGAACGTGTCTATGTAAGTTTCATTTCAAAATAAATTTGGAAAAATGTTTGAAATGGACAGTAATTACCTCATCTGGAAGACATTTCAAAGACTGACGTAAAGAAAAGGAATGGGCCTTAGTAACAATTGGCTTTAAATACATGTATATCTACTATGATTTTCAGGTGAAAGTATGATCTCAAATCGTGATCATTTCAAACATCCACTCATTTGAAATCACTATGTAACATTTGATTTCCCTTGTGGACTTTTTTTTCTATGTCGATATTTGACCCACCCAGTGGAAAGGTGAATGACCTATTTGGACTCTACGTCTTATTTCTGACCTGCGATCTGTCTGTGTTGATGATTACTGTGGATATTTGATCTGAAAAACCTATAGAACAGGCATACTTTCCGCCTTTTTATGCATTGTGAGCCTAAAATGCAGCGGTATAATTGACAGATTTTGGCATTTCAGTTTTCTCACCGGGTGATTACCACGTGATTACCACGATTACCCTCTTGAAGCACCTGTATGGACATTCTCCTGGCATACCACTAGCACTCATCATTTTTCGCATGCCGACCCTGTTTTAAGTTTTGCAGGTAACTTCGCACGCATTGTTTCTGACACTTCTTTTAAAATTGGTAGTCTATGAAAGTCCACCAGTGCCATCAAGTATTGTCTCCCTGTCACTATTGGGCTTTTGTGGGATACTTCCAAGTTCTCAAGAAAATAATTAGGGCCTATTGTCAGTTTTTCAAGTGAAAAGACCGTGCAATCTAGCCACAACAGGCATTTTACCGGCCAGCGGGAAGACAAGATACTTGGTCCACCTAACTGGGTTGAAACGTTTCAGACGACTACAGCAAATTAGTCAATTTAGTATTTTCTACTCCTGTGCAGCCAAAATTTGAAGGTTGAAAGAGAAGTTGAACCAGGCCACGTCTCTTGATACCGTGTAGCTTAAATGCCGCCACCAACAGTTCACGTGCCCAGCAACTGCCAACCCACTCCACACAAAGACGTTGCACAATGCGTACTGCATAAAATGCGGTCGTATACTCGTCAGCTGTGCACGAAGATGGACACCGTCTAAGAGAAGTGTTGGCTGCCGTTTTAGGATTTGCAGCTTGGTCCACTTTTTTTCAGCCTTCAGGATTGAATTCTCCTGGCTGTTTGTAATTTGGAAGTGTAGTGAAAGCAGCTACCCTGTAATGTCGAGAATGGGGCTGTTTGGGACCGTGCTTGGGCGGAAAATCGGGACTTTGTGGCCCGCTGTGATCGTCACGTTGCTGTCAGTTGCAGGTGAGTGCACAGGGTGAGGCGAGGAAAGAACCTCTTACTTCCGAGGGACTCCATGCATGATGTGCCCCGATGATGGAGACGCATAGAACTACATGTTAGGCTTAAAGGTGTAGGCTAATTCGTGATTGGCACATCTCCTACTTCAACCGAATTTTGTTAAAAATAAACCTTACATTTTATGCCTTCACTTTCAAAGTTGTGTCCATGGTGTGACTAAAATTCTAAACGGAATTAGGCCTAACGTTAGCTAAAAATCCGGCGTTAGCCTAGGTTCTTTCCATGACATGATGGGGAGGCTTGCCAGAATTGGTAACGCTGCATATTTCTGGCTAACATGGAATAATATTTTGTCATGTTTGATTAACACCAAAGGTCATCAAGGTGACAGGAATGTTGTCACTGTAAACAAGATGGATCGGTTGTAAAACTTACATTTACAACTTAGGCCTACCGGTACGTTCAAGTAGGCTGTCGCCATATTTTGTGCATACTGTAAGGCGATGAAAATGAAATTCACAGATTTTCGTCCACTACCCGCATGCCCCAAAAGCTGCAAACATTGCCCCTTTTCCCTTCCCACAATGCCTTTCTACCATTGTGCAAAATCATTCATGCAGTATTTGCGATAAGGCTTATATGGATGCCGCTTGGCACCTTGTGCACAAACCCTATGAGACTGGTCTGAAAAAGTGTTGTCTAAGTGGACGACTTGGTATTTTCCCCTTTGAATTGAACTTTTCTGGACATCTTTTTGCTTTCTGACATCTAGTAGGTCACTCTAGGGAATCTTTCCTGGCGTCCATATAACGAGCTCTTTCTAAAATATAATTATTTGTATACGTTTGTTTTCATTATTTTTATGCAAAATGCACTTTATGACGAGTTACATGTACAAATCATTTGCCTAGCCATACGTGTAGATCAAAGTTCAATCCTACTAAAAAATATACAACATTCGTACATGTACGAACATTGTATTACAGTAAAAATCTTTTTGTGTTGAATTATTATTGGCCCGTCCATTTGCATGGGCTTAGTACCGACCCATGGGGAAAAGTGGGTTTCCTCAAATTTATACATTTGCTGTGTCTCTGAGCACATGCAGCTATGGCTCAAAGTAGTATGGAGAATGATCTTTTGGAAGAACAGTCTACTGGTAGGAATAATCTTGGGACACATTTTCTGGAACGAAACTCACGACTGCTAACTTACTTTCATTCAGAGTTTTTGCTAATGTTACATACATCCCTCTGTGGACCGAATGGAGGCTTGACCTGCTGTTGCGACATTGTTTCATGACCTTTAAGTTTTAACAGAAAGGTGTTTGTAAAAATGTGGAGGAACATCACGATGTGTCAATTGCATGATAAAGAGAGCTGGGTATTGCGGGCTTGACCCTGCACATTACCGTTATCAGTGAGGAAAGTGCCCTCAGGTTATCAGCTTGGAATGTGATATTGAAGTAGTACCAAGGATTGCACCTGGTTTCTTGAAATGCTTGAAATTTTGAAAAAGACACAAAATTTGCCTAAATTTATTCACTCCAGGTGCACAGCAACAGTACAGGGGCATGGTGATACATGTTGCCCGTACTGTGGAAAAAAATGTTGTTAACTTAACAACTTCAGGGAAAAAAATAAATGGAAAGAAAATCATGGTAGAATTGAATGTAGATATGCATTGTAGACTGCAAATTTCTTTTTCTTCTGGTAATTGAGAGACAGAATGCTTGATTAGGCATGAAATGCGGTCACGCTACCCAGCGTGCACGGTATGTGCCTGTAACACACTGTACAGTTGCATAGCCATGCCTGACGAAGTGAGGAAAAGGCCCTTAAGACTGGAGTCTAAAACCCGTACTAACATTGGTTGAATATAATTTTCAACTAGAAAAATGAAGTGTACATATATGCATTGGTAAACTGCTATTGTCACCAGGGAATGTTGAATTACTGGTGATGTCACATTGAGCCTAGTTACATGTAAATGGTGTGGAGATTCCGGAACTGTTACCGTACCTGATGAAGTAGCAAGCTGTAATAACCCATTGCAAGTTAAATTGGAATAAAATCTGGTACACCGAGTTTTTAATTGTCTTGAACATAACAGTTTGAATTCTCTATACTTGAGACACTGTGGCTATGTACATGTACATGTATCTCATGATTCGGGCAAGCTTTTGCATGTGTAAAAGATGCCTTGTATTAAATACACTGTTTTCAATGGATAAGAAGGGCACAAAGGAACTAGTTCATGCCAAAGATGGTGGTCGCTATGCAAAAGCTTGCCCCAAATGAAGAGGTACTGCAACAGTAATGTGTTAATGTGCAATCAAATAAATAACTCACTGTGGTACCAGACTTTATTTCAATTTAACTCAGAGAGGCCTTATGTTACATTGACACTGGCAGATTTGTACAGCATGTTTTCACTGCAGTTATTTGTTACAAAATTTTCTTTAGTTTATAAACCTTTGATTACACAGTGAGGTCCCCCCCCCCGGCTGTCTGTTGTGCACAGGCTTGAACTGCTAGGATAAATGGCACACACCATCACATCAACAACCCCCCCCCCATACTGTGTGCAATGCAGGCCACGATGTCGTGACTCATTGCCACTTTATTGAGGCGATGGATGGCTTTTGTTCTCGGCCTGCTTGCCTAGTGTGTCATTGCCCCTCCATTGGTCTGTCTGAACAATGCCGGGCCCCCAAAGCCTCGCGGGCCTGCTCTGCTGAATCCTGCAAGGAGTCGTGTTGGTCGTCCACTTGTGCCCTGTGTTGGGGCCAGTGAAATTAGTTATTTCTCATTTCTCCGCGGAGCCCCGATGAAGGGCTTGAGTGGGTGTGCATCAGTTGTCTGATTTAGAGGCCTCGATGAGTGCTGGATGTCTGCTGAGGTGATAAATGAAGGCATTGGGCACCATTCTGAAAGACAGAAATGGGGATGGAGACTAAACCTGTTGACATCGAGTATAACTGATTTTAGTCTCCTAAAAAATAAAACCAAAAAATCCAAAACTCACTTTTTTCAAGAAGGGGATGTGGGCGAAGATGATCAGCCCTTTTTTTTCTACATGGCCCTAATGCCATTGTACTGTTATTGTAACTTCAGACAGACAGTACACACTCCGTGCATTGTTAGAGAATGACCGTGGAATGACTAATCAATAGAGATACAATGAGCAGGCAAACTGAGGTTTTAATAAGCCTATGCATACATGTACATGTATGTAGGCATGTGTGACTGTTTCTTGTCCAGATGGTTTGAGGCATAACCAGTACTTGTACATGTGTACATGTATCCGGTACACTTACTCTACATGTACGGTATGTCTTGGAAGCACATGTGAAGTAGAAAACAAATGAAGAATAAATTCCAGACACATGTAGGATCATACATGTATGTTGTCTTCAAGTACATGTAGGTTAGACATTCCTCATTTCATAGTGTGAACAAGTGTGGTATATTACACTGTACATGTACAGTACATTGTGCATTCACTGTGTGTACAGATTGCTGATGGGACATTTTCCCCAGTGTCAGAGGTGGTTCTTTTCCAATCACGTTGCGGCTTGCAGGTGCCGAGTGTTTCACTATTGTTCCTTTCCTATCCTAGAATATTTGAACAGTGGCCTCACCCCCTATTTTTGTTTTGGGTAACTTCATATTTGTATTGTGGCACAGTGGTTAGAGTTAAATACCGTGAACAGTCCTTGCATTGTGCGGGACGGGCTGACCTTTTAACCTCCCCAATCTTTATTGCAAATTGCTTCCTGAAATACCAGAAGTGGCCAACATTAATAACAACTCAGGGAGATACATGAACCAGAACAATCATTTTTATGGTCCCGCAGAATATGGAAAGGAGACAAAGTTTCTATAGTTGAGGGCCACTGCTATTTGGTTCAACTGCAGGTCATTGAAGGAAAGGTTTTGCAGTGGAAAAGTACACTACTCAAAAAAAGTTAAAGACCACTTTTTATTTTGTGAATACTTTTTTATATGAGATATTTTACTGCTGAAAATGTGCATTTGATGTTTTGAAACATTTAAAAAAATTTTTTATTCCAATGAGGACACCATTTAGACAAACAAAAAATGAAAGAACTAGACCCCCTAGGTTGGAAAAAATTACAAGTTTAGAAAAAATATGGTCCTAAACTTTTTTGAGTAGTGTACTTACACACTACAAACGTGTATAAACTTAAAAAAAGACGCATTGGTACGTGTACATTGTACACTCTATGAGGTGCCGATACGTACATGTACAGTGTACACTAGGGCTGTGCCGAATATCCAAATATTAATATTCGAATGCGAAATTCATGAAATGAAAGGGAGAATTTTCTTTTGTTTTAAATGAGAAAAATTGCAATGTGGAGGTTTGTTTTCAATTGTTATGCGACAGAAATCTTACAAAGACTCAAAAAAGTAGTTTAATCACTAAGTCCTAAACAGTCCCAAATCCTCCGATTTCAATATGATTGTACATTCACCCTAGGGGGCTAGGGTTAAAAAAAATTGAAAAGGAATAGAAATGTTCATCTGGGCAAGAAGTATTGTTTGTCTCTTAAATCTTACAAAATTGTGGCTGGAAATAGTCCTACTGTAGATGTGAGAAGCTATTAGAGTGATTATAATGTACAGTTGTGTGGGTTATTGCAACTGATTGTGTATATGGTTTACTCATCGACAATCTGCTGGTCGGTAAGACCGAATATTCGGATATATTCGATCAAATTGAAGGTTGAGTATTCAAATAATGAGTTGTTCAAATTGACTCAGTCCAAATGTACACATACATGTACGTGCATTTACGGTGTACACGTGTACATGTACATGTATGTATGGGTGTCCAGAGGAGGCAGGATACGAGTAACTCTTTGGGGAAGGAGGGGTGGGCAACCAGCAGCAGATGTAAATAGTATTATCATTGAATGGGGTCATAGCCCTACCTGAAACATTTTCAGTGAAAAACTGTGTTTTTTTTTCTGTTTCCCATTCCTTGCTGTTGTCATCATCGTTTGCCGCTGTTCAGGGAGGGGGTATTTTGGGAGATGGCAGGGGGGCTTCTGCTCTTTGGTCTTTGGTCTGTAATTAATTGCTGAAGTCAACGAAAGCTGTCATGTGAGTATACATGTACCGGTACCTGCAGTCAAGGGTACAATCTACATATGTGAGATGCCTAACTTCATGATTCACAAACCACACTCCTACCCCACAGTGTAGTATCCCGCTGATACTCTCTGTAGCTTCCTGAGAAGATATCCTCTGCTTGCATGTACTGTATGTGTGCAAGTCTTTTGCCGTGGGGCTACTTGGGTCCAGCCTGCACTCTTATCTTCAATAAAAAAAAAATTCCAGTACATTCTTTTCTAAATCTAGTCTTGGCTTGTTTTTTTTTGCGGGGGGGGGCATGTAGGCTGTTTTCTCCAGCCTGTGTGCGCGGGATTAACCTCATGTGGAGAAGTGGTACTCTTGTACCAATCTTTTCACAAACTGGATTGTTTTTAAGCCTTCTTATGCACTGTAGAAAACATGTAAAAATGTGTACAGTAGGCTACAAATATAACGAGGCTCTGCACTGATCATGTAATCTGCTTTACAAACAAAAATATCTTTGCAAAGGAACTCAGAAATTGTGCCCTGCTAAAGTTCCACTTGGATAGCCTACATGTTAATTGGAACTTCACTTGAACTTGTTCTGGGCATTTTCTTGACAGCCCTTCGTACATCCTCCAAAGTCCTCCACTGTGCAGGAAACCACTCATTCTACATACAGAACTTAACTAGGTCAAAAAGCATTGATGTACAGTGAAGTAAAATGATGCTTGTTCCAGTCACCGGACAGTTTTGAAATTAGAATATTCTGAGAAAATTCATAATATCGTCTATTCTCAAAGTACTGGGTATTTCTTGGAACGAATTCATCCCTAACAGTCTTGAATCTTCCTATTTTATTACACTTTTTCCCACACGTCCAGTCATAAGTTAAGATGGACCATAGTAGAATGTATGATGTACATGTACAGTGCCATCTTAGGCAGAAACATCAGCGTCGGATACCATGTACATGTACATGTATGGGTAGTTGAAGAAGTGCAAAAAAGTTACCAGATCTGGTCGATACTGGTAACACTTCCTGTTTGTAAGTGGCAGCAACATAACCGTATACATGTATCAGAGGACTGGTACCCGTGATATGAATGTGCATTTGTACTGTATAGTACTGGTTATAGTTTCCAGTTATCTGCATGTACATACTGGTACATGTAAAATTTGCAGTACATGTACATGTATATACTTTGCGGTCCCCCCCCATAAAAAATGTGTAATATATCAGCTTCGCTCGATGAAAGTTGGTCCGAATGTTGGAAATGCATGTGTACGGGTACATTAACATGCGATTCATCTGTCAAACAGTAGACATTCCTATCACCGAACCTGTCAGCAAGATGCCCCCGTGCCTCCCGATCTATTACCCCACATCCTTCATCTGGGAAGGCAGAGAAGAAGGGGAGAAAGTAATGTTCAATTGTGTGCATCACCAGACAGTGCTCACCATTCAGTCGCAGCATCTGGCCGTCTATTTTTCAAAGCAGCGGCGGCACCCTTTGTCGTAATTTGCCGTCAATTAAGCGTCCGTCGACCAACAAAGGGGCAGTCGGGCCTCTTCTCTCCCTCCGCATCGGTGTCTATAATCTTCACTACATGATCACTGCAATCATGCGGAATGGGGACCCTGAATAATTTTTTTCGGCAGCCCTCCATCAAAAGAGCGGCCGGGCCTGGGCTTGCTCAAAGATTGAACAGAAAGGGAGAGGGAGAAAATGAAAAGGCCGTCTGGCAATGGGGCTTTGTCTGTCTGCAGTGGCAAACGTTGTTCCGTTGGGTAAACAACACTATTTGTTGGGGTGCAAGTGTTAAAGAGCACCCAGCGAACAGTTGCAATTTAGCTCTTGTTTTCTTGTAGAACTGTTCTTTTCTTTATACCCGTGTAGAACTGTTCTTTTCTCTCCCTCGTTGGCCTGTTTGTAGGGGGATACGCATGGGGGGTGTGTGTACGGTGTACATACATGTAAGTTCGAATAGTACATTTATAAGCCCGTCATAAAAGTTACAGCGAGTGTGGAATTTGTACCCTGGCTGCTGTAAATTATTGCAATGTTAGAATTCAGTTGTGATGCCTGTTATTTACATAGTACCTGTGTCCTGCTGAGCAATATTAATTAATTAAAACAGGCATGCATGTACATACTTGTGCATGTTCGTGCAATGGACATGTGATTGATATTACAGCACATGTATTGCACATCAGAGAATGCATGTACTCTTAATTTGTTAAAAAGCAGTTAGAAACAGATTATACCCGTAATGTAAAATGTGCCATATCAGAACTAGTTCGGAAAAAAATCCAGTGATGTGCATAGTGATTTGCAAAAATCACATATTTTGCACATTGTAGTACATGTACATATACATTACTTACCGGTACATGATGGGCTTGCAGAAATGGATTCCCCTGATTTGATATTTTTAATACTACCACAATTTACTTCTTTTGAATAACTGATGGGATTGCCTTTTGTCTCAGAATACTATACTGAACCTGCACGCTGTGATGCTGTCATTAAAGTGAAATGTTTTTGAGCAGATGAAAATATGATTGTTTTCTGTATCTTTTCCCACAGCAACAACAAACCTTGTGCACGCATTTGAGTTTGTGAATCAACCTCTGAGCATGGACTTAGTGGAAGGACGGAGTGCAATCCTCCAGTGCAGCGTTGATGATGACACAAATGTTGAATACAGATGGACGCTTGAAGGTTCAGATATAGCAGACGATGACCGTCGGTCAGTAACCAATGGAGACTTGACCATTACAGGAGTGGACAGAGTGTTGGACTCTGGTGAATTTCGCTGTGTTGCAACCAACACAGTGACTGGGGAAAGTAAAACAAGTGATCCGGCAGAGCTGAATATCATATGTGAGTATAACAGTGTTGTTTTTTTCTTTTTAAGGAGCAATGTTTTCGTGTCTTGATTTCCTTTTTTTTTCCTTCCTTGAAAGTCAAAATTATTCAATAAATCACATGTTTTGCATATTTAAATGTAACTTTGGTATGCATGCAGGCATGATGTCTTTTGCTTTCTACTGCAGGGATTTTTTTTCAGTAAAAAGTCTGAAAATTGCATTAAAAAATAACTATTGCTATAAAAGTTCACCTGTCCCTTTCATGAGGTTGATTACAGTGTTCCGGTTAATGTACATGTACTATACCATTACATGTACAAACATGTACATATACATACACAATTCGTTTCAACTTCCTTAAAAGTCTGACGTATCATTCACTGTACACTTGTTTCCATCAGTGTCCATTGTTTAAAATTTGTGAATTCTGCCTCCGTGAAATATTTTCTTCACGACTGGCACATATTTTGGCAGCAGAAACCATAACGCACAGGCAGACTTTATGGCCTGAAGCATCGCATGCCAGTAAATGCTGGGCTGGAGAAGAAGCTTGAGCTTCCCCTGATGGGTGTTCGTGCGGTACCATGTTGCTGCATCCTCGGAGCTGTGTTTGTTATTTCATCATTTTTCCTCTCAGGCCCCGGCCGAATTCCTGTGGAATTTCTGGAGCTGGAAAGTTAAGAAGGGCCAGGGGCTGATTTTTTTGGTTTCCAGACAGACGTGACTGGAGTGGGGGCCCGGACCCTCCTCCAGCTCCTGAGCTTTTTGCACTGCCTGCCTGTGCACTGTAGACATGCTTGTCGTTTAGATGTACAGCCAGAGTGCAGTGTGTTGTTCTACCGAGCATAAATAAACACAGTTGTCTGTCTCCCCTCGGCCAGCTGTGGTGTGGTTATTACTGGTAGTCCTGACATTTTTTCCTGTCCAAATATGGAAAGTAGAATGTTCTCCTAGTACTTACCGGTACATGTACTGGACCGATACACACTGTATGGTGGACCGGCATGGATATGTACAGTACATTTTACCTTACATGTATAGTACATGTAGCATTGTAGCTTGTGAGGGTGGAGACTGAAGGCAGATGCAGAAATTGTCCTTCATTCAGTACATACAAGTCGGTGTCTGTGTAATGTTTACAACCGACATATTTGCACTCAATTCTGAACAACTTAAGCAGCAACACTCTTTGCACTAGTCCCTTTTACTAGTTTTTCCCATAATTAAGGGGGGAAAAATGAGATGTATCGGCACCAGATCCCCGGTAACGGCGGTATACAGTGTATGTACAAGTATGCAGTGAACCAGTATGCAGTACGAGAACAATACATTGCAATATTGAAAGTTCACACTATGAATGGGAAACTTTGCAAAAAGAATTCACATTCACATCTCACACTGCGTGAAAATATTTTCCCACATACGTGTACGTGGAGAGTTGTGAGATGTATTTCCACCTTTTGAAACAGCGTGACAGAGTTTTTTTTCCCACTTGTGTGAAAGAGCCTGTAGCATTTTTCCCCATGTCGTGAAGAGGCCTGAGAATGTTTTCTGATTTTGAAAAGATGTGAAGATGTTTCCCCACTTGCACGAAAAGATTTGAAAATATTTTCCCACTGTGGGAAATTCTTTTCACATTTTGTGAAATGAAAAGGAATTCCCTGGGAAGGGAAAAGTGTGAAAGGAATTGCCTTTCAAGGTTAACTTTCAACTGCTGTTTACTGTAGACATGTACAGGTATATGTACTCAAAAGGAAAATTATATTCTTCAGTACTTTAGTTGGTACACTGTACATGTATGTGTTTTTATCTTTTATTTATTTACATGTGTATAATATTTGGTAAAATCTGTTTAAACCTGTACCATATGTATACAGTACATTGTTCAAATCCAAATGTACATATACATTGCATGTGTATACCGGGTACATACAAAAACTGTATACCTGTACCGTACAGTACATAAAATAAATGAATAAATGACTTGTTTTTGTTCTAATAAATTGTTTGATTTCAAATGTTCAATTTCTACATGTGCATGTACATGAACTAGGATTTTTTACAAGGATTTGGGAGGCTCTTCAATCTGTGAACAAGTTACCATTTAAATGTCTTTTTCAAATTTGGGTTTAATTTGTTGATTTTTAGAACTCAACTTGCAAACAGATCTTTTTGGCAAACTACCAAGTACCGGTACATGTACACTTATATATGTATGTATGCACTGTACAGGTGCAAAGACCCGTAATCTCTGGGAACATTGCAGTGTTAAAATGCAAATTTTGAAGTGTCTCAAAACATACATACATGTACCCTTTACATTCTGTACAGGAACACTGTCAATGGCGTTGATTTTTTTTTTGCCAGCCCACAGTGAAGTGTACATGAATGCGAGCTGTTTATCAAAAAAAGGCAGTCTGTTCAAGGCAATCTGGACCAGCCAGGGGACCTCCAAGGGGACAGGGCCATGTGATGAAATGCCACCTTTTGTCCAGTGCACAATGGACTTGTCTGATGGATTAGTTCTGTCCCCCTGCATCCACTGCCCAGGCCCAGTGAAAAACCTGTGGACACTTAATGTAGATGTGTATGGGGAGGAGAGACTCAAGGATGGACAGTATGTACATGTACATGTACACATTATGTACATGTACACAATGTGTACGCTGCCTGTCGAATTGTACAGCATTTTCACATCTGAACCCTTATGCATTCGGTCTCTCTCTCTCTCTGTGTCTCTCATTTTCTGCTAACTCCTGCAGTGTTGTACACCTTGACACCTGGTCTCAGTCTCCTCAAGACCTTTTGTGTGGTCTCGATCTCGTCTCCTCGAATCAAAGTCTTGGTTTCGGGAGAGTTGGTCTCCGTCTCAAAAGTGCTGGTCTCGGTCTCGGATGTCAAAGTCTCGGATGTCAAAGTCTCGGGTCTCCACCTCGAGACCTGTCAAGACCACAACAAAATGTGCACGTAGCCACCACTTATGAATGCACTCACCAGCAGACCTCTGACACGAGTCTAATTTCCAAACATGGATGTAAATACATGTACAACACCATTATGTTCAAATTTTTATGAGGAAGAATTAAATCGATGCTTGAATGGAGACTAGTCAATACAGGATGCAGTATTTCCAGTACAGGAGACAGCCTTGGAAAGTATTGCTCAACATGACAGAGATGAGGTTAAAAGCACTGGGACTTGTTTGCAGTGTGCCATTTATTTCACTAGCACACATCCCCCCATCTTTGTACAATGTACATGTACATATACACATGTACATATACACATGTACACATGTGTACATGTACTACTACCAGATCTTATTTGGATGTTGATATTTTCTTGATTTTTTGTTCACGAAAAAAAAAGTTGAATGTTTACATCAGTGGGGTCACTCAGGTTGAAATGACAATTTCACACATACATGTACATGTACCAGTGGGTAATTTTTGGCTGACCTTTCTAACCAGTCCAGTGATCATTAACATTGTACAGTGTATCTCTGGTATAAACTCAGACATTTGGCATTGACATAAGGTCATTCAATACTTGGGTATTGGACATACATGTATCATGCCCAATAGGTTTGTGTGAAATGTATAAATATGCCATAGTTAAAGTTAAATGAAAATAACCATACATCTGCTAATGGTATTGACATAAAAGTCTGCAGCTCATCACAACTTCATTGTACCGTACATGTATTTCCCAGAGGTAAAATCAAAAGTGTCAAGTCTTGAGGAAATATTTAAGCTATTTATGTTTGATGGTGTGTTCCATGTTAATTTTTTTTATTTCATACATTCAGGATAATTTCATTATCTTATGTTGCTTGTCCTCGTTTACCTTTGTGTAAAATTGTATAAAATTTAAATGTTTGGTCTCAGTTCATCTGTTAAAGTCTTGGTTTTGAAGTCTTGATCTCGGTCTTGAAGACGTTGGTCTCGGTCTGGAATGCCTCGGTCTTGGTCTTGGACATCAAGGTCTGGGATACAACACTGAATTCCTGTCAGTGATGGTTAGTTGTTGGAACATCATCTCGTCAGATCCCTGTTACATGTTCATGTGCTGTACGGTACATGTACATGTAAAGTATATACGATTATATTGCAACACTGGTGCACAATATTGTTACTCCAAGTTTGGTATTGTATTGATCAAAAATATAAATATGTACATAAACAACAAAAACCCACTGCTGTCCCCTAAATGCACTTGTACGCAAACAACATAGTATATGACTAGTATACACCGGTATCTGTGGAACTCCTCCTTTTTTCTGTGATCCGGATTGCTGTTGAAAATACAATTGTATGCGCTTGTATCTGTACATTACTAAATTATGTTCCTCTTTTAGGTCAAAAATTGTGGTGTCCCACATGAAATATACATGTACATGTACACTGCATGATTTGGCTAAGCTCGCCAAGCTGATTTTCTGGCGAAAAGACACAGACCCCTTGCCTTTGCCAGAAGATTCACGACTTTTCAAATGAAGGAGCTCCTTTCTCCACTCTGCGGAGACAGGGTGGCCCCGCTGAAAAAGCCCCATCCAATATTTTTGCCACTGAGGTGAGTTGTCACTACCAAATTGATGTCCTGCCGGGGGGATTAACCAGCGTTGCATGAATTCATTCCCAAGAAAAAGCTCCAACCTCGTAGGTTGATTGATGGTTAAAGATGTTCTTTGCTGAATCTTGTCATTTTCAGATCTCAGATGTATATGAAGCCTTCTCTTGGGCCAGTAGGGCCGCATTTTATTTTTGAATAAAATGGCAGAGTTATAGATGGATCTACACTGTATAATGTCATATTAAAGCACATGTACAAATGGACATTTATTCCAGGGTTTTTCCATGACTGGTTCAGCAATGAAATGTATATCATAAGCTGTTATTTGTGTATTTTGGCCAGTTTCAATATACATGTATATGTACATGTACATGCTGGTAGTACGGTGTATAGTGTACATGTACATTGTACATGTTAATGAACATGTACATCTATGAATTG